AAGAGGAGCGTTGGATGATTCAAGTTCGTGTTCCAGGAAGGACTTTTACACCAATTACCGAGCCCATCGAGTTTTCCTTTGATGCACCAACCCGGAGTCTAGGAAAGAGCATGGCCGCCCACATCGCCATGGGATGCATCGGCGAGGTGTACAACAAGGATCTTAAGAACACCATCTACCAGATATGTGGACGCCAAGATGAGCAATGGGAGATGATTCGCACCAGGAAGGATAGATCCATTGCACCCTACATACAGGAGTTGAACTAGCACATTTGATGCTACGAGAACCAGATGTGCGCCAACATGATAGACACAAAGAAGGTGATGACCCGGAACATGGAGCTGGAGGAAGAACTCAACTCTACACGCGATGGATATGAAGAAGAAATTGATGTACTACTGGAGAAGAATGAAGACCCGAAGAAGAAGCTAGGAATATTAATGGGGATCCCAAACCTGGAGTGGACATTCGTTTAGAGGATTACATCATACTAGACGACACAGACTCCGACCCCAACAGCAATGATGATTATGAAGACGAAGCTGGAGCAGATATCATGGAGTCTTCCACCGATCAAAATTTCTAGTCGACCACCATATTACCATTAGTATTCTCCCATGTATATAGTAATAGTCCACGAGATTTTGTAACGATAGCTTAGATCGATTGTATGCATCTTGTTTGAATTGAGTGGTGTGAAATGAATGTGTTTGTCTCATGTGCATATGGGTAGTGAAATCTCTCTTTAGACCTCACTCTATTCTATTCTCACCCCTCTAAACCTATCAGATGCCTCCGAGACGTGACCCCGCATTTTCCTTCCCACCAGAGCTCACTCAGTTGATCCAGTAGCAGAATGCCTTGATGCAGTTGCTAGTCCAGAACCAAGGCAACAACAACAACAACAACAACCACCCACCACCACCACCTCTGGTCGACAACTTAGCCCGCTTTCTAAGGTTAAATCCATCGGTGTTCTCTAGTAGCACCGAGCTGATTGTTGCAGATGATTGGCTCCGTAAGACTGGGAGGGAGCTGACCACCACAGGTTGCACAGATGTTGAGAAGGTGCGCTTTGCCGCACATCAACTGGATGGACCCGCAGCCTCATGCTGGGAGAACTACACAGTCACTTTCCCTGTGGCCAATGTCACTTGGGATCAGTTTCAGCAAGCATGCCGCACCGCACATGTCACAACTGGAGCTATGAGCATGAAGAAGCATGAGTTTCGCAACTTAAACCAAGGAAATCATATTGTGACACAGTACGTGGATGAGTTCAGCAAGTTAGCTCGCTACGCCCCAGATGATGTGTCCATAGATGCCGCGAAGCAGGAGAAGTTTCTTGAGGGACTGAATGATCAGCTGAGTATGTAGTTGATGGTGGCAACATTCACTAACTACTAGGAGTTGATAGACAGGGCTCTCATGATTGAAGGCAAGCAACAACAGATAGAGAACCGCAAATGGAAGTATGGATAGGGGAAGTACAACTCTGGAGCTCAGCAGAAGCCACGTTTTACCCCAAACCCGGGAGGACATACCCATCATAACCATGGAGGCCATTCTCATAATGGAGAAAGTTCACACAACCACAGTGGCCCTAAAAATGGTAATGGGAATGGAGGAAACACCAGTCAGAACCGTTTCAACCCCACTATACCCGCCAAGAAGGATCTAAGTCACATTACTTGTTTCAAGTGCGGGAAGACTGGACACTACACCACCGAGTGTCCTGAAGCAAAGAAGGGAAATGGGAATGGAAGCTAAGGGAAGAAGCCAAATCCTTTCACCAGAGGTCAGGTGAACAACATCAACGTGGAGGAAGTTGAAGAGCAGCCTGGCGCGGTGATTGGTAAGTTTTTGATTAAGTCATTTGTCGCCCTTGTTCTTTTTGACATTGGTGCATCGCATTCATACATATCAAAGGGATTTGTGGACAAGTTTAAATTGCCAACCTTAGCCCTTAGGTCACCCATGTTAGTAAGCTCACCCGGAGCGAAGTATCTGGCCAGCCAATGGTGTCATCGGTTGCCATTAACCATTGGTAGGCATGTTTTCCCATCAAACCTAATATTTTTGGAGTCACAAGGATTAGATATAATACTAGGCATGGATTGGCTATCGAAGTATGGAGGAAACATCGATTGTGCTAGTAAGTCGATACTTCTCACCACCTCGGAGGGAAAAAGGATCAAGTATGTGTCTAGGCATGCGCCAAGGAGGACTCAAGTGAATTCACTTTCGGGAGTTGTTCAAGAGGAAGTGCCAGTTGTGAAGGATTATCCCGACGTATTCCCGGAGGAACTACCAAGCATGCCAACAGATCAAGATATAGAATTTTTGATAGAGTTATTACCAGGCACCAGACCAATATCGAAGAGACCGTATCGGATGCCTGCAAATGATCTGGAGGAAGTTAAGAAGCAGATTAAGGAGTTATTGGAGAAAGGTTATATTCGACCAAGCTCGTCACCATGGGGAGCCCCAGTGCTCTTAGTTGAGAAGAAGGATGGATCTTTAAGGATGGTTGTGGATTATCGTGCGTTAAATGAGGTGATGCTCAAGAACAAATACGCACTACCGATGATCAATGATTTGTTTGACCAGCTACAGGGAGCTAAAGTATTCTCCAAGATCGATCTTCAATCAGGATACCACCAGCTGAAGATCCGTGAACATGATATACCTAAGACAGCTTTTGCCACAAGGTACAGGCTATATGAGTACACTGTTATGTCTTTTGGTTTGACTAACGCCCCTGCCTACTTTATGAGCATGATGAATAAGGTGTTCATGGAGTTCTTGGATAAGTTTGTTGTGGTGTTCATTGATGATATATTGGTATGCTTGAAGAATGAAGAAGAACACAAGGAACATTTGCGTTTGGTTCTCGAGAAGCTCAGGGAACATCAGCTATATGCCAAGTTCAGCAAATGTGAGTTTTGGTTGAAGGAAGTTGGATTTCTCGGACATGTTATATTTGGAGAAGGTATAGCGGTAGACACTTCCAAGGTTCAGTCTGTCACTGAGTGGTTGGCACACACCTCAGTTGGAGAGACACACAGTTTTCTTGGACTCGCAGGATATTACCGGAGATTCATTGAGAATTTTTCCAAGATTGTGAAACCCATGACGGAGTTATTTAAGAAGGACACCAAGTTCAAATGGACCAAAGAATGTGAGGCCAGTTTTCAGGAGTTGAAGAAACGTTTAGTTACAGCCCCAGTGCTAATTCTTCCGGATATACGCAAGGATTACCAAGTATATTGCGAACTTCTCACCGGGGACTTGGAGGTGTACTTATGCAACACGGAAGAGTTGTTTCATATGCCTCATGTCAGCTTTGACCTCATGAGTTGAATTATGCCACGCATGATTTGGAGTTAGCAGCCGTAGTGCATGCGCTCAAGACCTGGAGACATTTTCTTATTGGAAACCGTTGTGATGTATACACGGATCATAAGAGTTTGAAGTACATTTTCACATAGAAGGAGCTAAACCTCAGGCAGAGGAGATGGTTGGAGCTCATAAAAATTATGATATGAAGCTGCATTATCATCCAGGAAAGGCTAATGTTGTAGCAGATGCTTTGAGCCGCAAGAGTTATGTTAATACTCCCATAACTGGATGATTACTTCAGGAGTTAGCCAACGATCTCAGAGAACTTCGTTTGGAGATAGTTCCGAGAGGTTTTGTTGCAGTGTTGGAAGTTCAGTCCATGTTGTTGGGAAAGATTCGAGAAGCCCAGAAGACTGATAAGGAGATTGTGGAGATAAAGGAAAGGATGAGTAAAGGAAAGGCCAAAGGTTTTCGTGAGGATGAGCACGGAACTTTATGGTTTGAGGACCGTATTTATGTGCCCAATGACCCAGAGATCAGGAAGTTAATACTTCAGGAAGCTCATGACTCGCCATACTCGATTCACCTCGGAACACCAAGATGTATTTGGATTTGAAGGAACGTTTCTGGTGGACATGTATGAAGAAGGATATTGTCGAGTATGTAGCCGTGTGTGACGTATGTCAGAGAGTTAAGGCAGAACACCAGAAGCCAGCAGGATTACTTTAGCCTATGCCAAAACCCGAATGGAAGTGGGATAAGCTTGGCATGGATTTCATCACTGGATTACCCAGGGCACGATCAGGTTATGATTCCATCTTGGTAGTAGTAGATCGCTTGACCAAAGTGGCTCAGTTTATCCCCGTCAAAACCACTTATATGAGCGCGAAGTTGGCCAAGATATATATGACCAAGATTGTATGTCTGCATGGAGTTCTGAGGACCATCGTATCAGATAGAGGAACACAATTTACCTCAAAGTTTTGGAATCAATTACACCAGAATTTGGGTACTAGGCTAGAGTTTAGTATAGCCTTTCATCCGCAGACAGATGGACAAACCGAGAGAGAAACCAAATTCTGGAGGACATGTTGAGAGCTTGTGCGCTAGATTATGGATCTAGTTGGGATGATAATTTACCTTATGCAGAGTTCTCATATAACAACAGTTACTAGGCTAGTTTGAACATGGCCCCTTTCGAAGCTTTGCATGGGAGGAGGTGCAGGACACCATTGATGTGGGATGAAGTTGGATACCGTCAGTTGTTCAGACCAGATTTAATCAGAGAGTCTGAAGAGAAAGTTAAGTTGATTCGTGATAGACTGAAGGTAGCTCAATCTAGGCAGAAGAGTTATGCTGACACTAAATGCAAGGAGGTAGCCTATGAAATCGGAGACAGAGCATATCTCCAGGTATCACCACTTTGAGGAGTTAAACGATTTGGAGTCAAAGGAAAGTTAGCACCACGATTTGTAGGACCATACCGAGTTTTGGAGCATATGGGAGAAGTGGCCTACAAGTTGGAGTTACCCGAAGGTTTGTCAGGAGTTCATGATGTGCTTTACGTTTCCCAGTTGAAGAAGTGCCATGCAGAGATGGCCGATATTCCTTTGAGAGACACAGTATCCCTGGAAGCAATTCAGTTGGAGAGTGATCTAACCTACGAGGAGAAACCCATCAAGATTCTCGAGTTTGCCGGCCGAGTTACACGTAGCAAGGTCATCAAGTTTTGCAGAGTTCAGTGGAGCCACCATACCGACGAAGAAGCCACCTGGGAGCGAGAAGAAGACCTACGGAAAGACCACCCACACCTATTTGCTAGCCGACCCGAATCTCGAGGGCGAGATTCATCTTAAGGGGGGTAGGATTGTAACATCCCAATTTTCAATTTGGATGTTAATCATTAGGTCATTATGCATCCATATTTTGAGCATTTTGAATTTGATTTATTTGGACTTTTTTATCCTAGAGACCTTAAGCAACTCAAGGACCATTTGAGAGAGTTGGAGGTTTCCATAAAATTCCATTTTTGAATTTTCAAAAAATTGGTAAGGTGATTTTATTTGAAATTATTTTTCCAATTATTTCAAAATAAATAAAATAATGAGAGAAGATAATCTGACTTCTTCAAACAGAGGAAATAATGGAAATTTAATTTTAAATAAAAATATATTTTATTTGATTTTTATTTGAGATTTTATTTGATTAAATTAGGGAAAATTGCATTTTTAAAAATTGCATTTTAGCCCCAAAAATGTTCAAGTTGTCCTAAATATAAGGAGAGGACCGTGAAAATTATTTTTGAGATTTTAGCATTTTTTTTATTTTTTTTATTTTGGATTTTTTTTCCTTTTCGGTGAAATTATTAAAAAAAACTCTTCGACCGACTCGGCCGAAGCCCAGCCGGCCCAGGCCGCCGCCACCGCCTTCCCCGAGCGCGGGAGTCCGACTCCCACTCGGAAGCTGTCGCCGCCGGAGTCCGGCCCCGACTCCGCCTCCCTGCCGCCTTGCCCCCTCCCCAAGCCAGCCTTCCCCCTCTTTAAATAGGTTGCCCCTTCTCCTAACCGCACC